CTTATTTCCTTAGCAATGTTGTTTGGTTGCTTTTTCATTTTTGTGTGGTTTTTTTTTCCTTTTTAAATATTGAGTATGTAATTGTCCTAAAAAATGATTCCAGTATACATCTTGTCAGTTGTTTTCTCTTTATCTGTTAAAAATATTAGGAAAAATGAAAGAGGGCCTTCCATATCCTACATAGCTTGAATCCCTCTCCAGATTGTAGGAAATGTTATGGTTTAAGTGTTCTCAGAAGACTTTACAGAGACACTTAAAGGGTCAGATAAACATGCTTCAGCCCCTTGAGCAGAAAGCAAGCTGAGCAATCTTTTTTTATAGATCAAAAGCAAGGGAAAAAGCAAAACCAACGTAAAGCCCTAATTCTGGCTAGGCAATAAGCAAAGTCATTATAATCAATGGATTGATGTAAATGTATATGGTTTTCTGAGATTATATCTTTTCCAAAGGGAAGATTATATCGTCTGTTCATTTGCATGTTCTATTCTCCCTGTGCTTGTTGTATTTAAATGTATCAATTTAGACCAAGTGAACATCTGCAGTAGTTCTCAAGAGAGAAAAAAATCTTATATATTAAAGCTGTCTTTCATCATTCTCGTCCTGGTAAAAACACATGAAGTAAGTGTCTTATTTCTTGGTATTGAAGAAAAAAACCAAATATATTTTCTGTTTTTTTTTTTTCAGTTCTAAAATGATTAAAAAGTCATGACACACTAGTATGGAATTATACCTTGGAGAAGACATGTACTAAAAACAATTATTTCTAAAACTAGAAAGTAACCTGCTTTGTGGAATTAGAACACATACAGACCTACACAGAGCTTTGGATAGTGTGTTTAATGTCCTTGTATGTTGGAAAAAATATTTTGAACGTTAGGAACATTTGAGGTGGAAGTTGAATGCTGTTTAGGGGAAAGAGACACTGTGAGAGGAGCAGGAGATCTGGAGGTTTCCAGAGGGAGTCTTGAAGATAATGAAAATAAATTAGTTTATCGAGGAGTAGTGGAAGAGAATCAATCAATGGCAACATGTTACTGTTGAGGCTGCCAGAGAAATTTATAGTATTCAAAACAAAATCAGTGGCCAGAACAAAGTGGTCAAAACAGAACCAAAGATGGGCCCTCCAGTCAGATAACCATAAGCGAGAAAGACAAGAGTGGAGGCATCTTGGGACGAAAGCTAAACAGTTGTCTTTTTGATGCTAGGAGAGATGTAAGCTGGTAGCAAATCACAGAATCACAGAATGGTGGGGTTTGGAAGGGACCTCTCTAGGTCATCCAGCCCAACAACCTGCCAAAGCAGAGTCACCTACAGCAGGCTGCACAGGACCTTGTCCAGGCGGGTCTTGAATATCTCCAGAAAAGGAGACTCCACAACCTCCCTGGACAGCCTGGGCCGGGGCTCCATCACCCTCAGAGGGAAGAAGTTCTTCCTCATGTTCAGATGGAACTTCCTCTGCCTCAGTTTGTGCCCATTACCCCTTGTCCTGTCGCTGGGCACCACTGGCCTCATCCTTCTGACCCCCACCCTGCAGATATTTATAAGCATTTCTAAGGTGCCCTCTCAGCCTTCTCTTCTTCAGGCTGAACAAGCCCAGCTCCCTCAGCCTTGCTTCATAGCAGAGATGCTCCAGTCCCTTCCTCATCCTCGCAGCCCTCTGCTGGACTCTCTCCAGTAGCTCACCCAGGTCCCTCTCCACAGAGCTGCTCTCCAGCAAGTCCACCCCAAGCCTGTACTGATGCATGGGGTTGTTCCTCCCCAGGTGCAGGACCCTGCATTTGCCCGTGTTGAACCTCGTCAGGTTCCTCTCTGCCCAACTTTCCAGCCTGTCCAGGTCACGCTGAATGGCAACACAGCCTTCTGGTGTATTTACCACTCATCCCAGTTTGGTGTCATCAGCAAACTTGCTGATGGTACATTCTAACTCTTCATCCAGGTCGTTGATGAATAAGTTAAACAAGACTGGGCCCAATACTGACCCCTGGGGGACACCACTAGTGACAGGCCTCTTATCAAAAAAATCAGAAAAAGCAAGTACAATTTGGTAATAGAAAGCATTAGTAGGAAATCACAGAAACTTTGTAGTAAAATTACAGTCTCTCAAGAGGCTAACAGTGTTTGACTTTTCTTGTTCCCATTGCACAAGGCATGTATTTCAACCTGTAGGTCTCTTTCTTTTTCTGTTACTCAGATTCAAAACAAACAAAACCAAAACCTCATAGTTACTCGCCCAAGAAAGAAATACAAAAATAACTGCGTTATGCACAATGACTCTGTCTTTCATGGATTAAAAACTTCCTTTACAGGGCCTAGTGTCTTTTTTTAAAAAAAAAAAAAACTTCCTTGATGACTACGCTGCAGGAGATAATGATCTTCTTTAAACAAGTAAGGTTTGTGATTATGTAGTCCATTCCAGTTTCCACATCAGTCTTTCTAGGCCTTTTTCCTATAGAATAACTGTGTTCTGGAACACCAACTTAGTTGATGTTTTGGGACATTTTTCTTCTGTTCTCATCCAATACTAGGAATACAAGACACACGGTAGTTCCATGTGACAAATGTGTCATGGTCGTGGAATAATAAATATGTGCCCCTAGTGTCAAGCATGATAAATAATTTCAGTTGGTCCCTGATTGTCCCATATGATTTCCAGCATAAAAGATATCATCCCATTACTATAAGTGAATAAAATAACTCGTTATTGTTGAGTCACTCACCACTGCTTTCCAGAAAAAAAGTATAAAGTAAGCTTTGTAGGTTAATAAGGCTTTGTGTATTTCTTCTCTACATAAAGTTTCAGTGTCTTTTTTAAAGCAAGTACCTAGGGGTTTTACTAAAAGTGTTCCATCTCTGTGCATTTTCATTTTTATGCTGCTTTCATTAAATGAATATACAGAAATATTTACAGAAAATTTTCAAGACGTTCAGGTAGTTTTTTTAAGAGTGTATGAGATCTCTGCAATACAAAAAATCTATCAAATTGAAAAATATTACAGGTTTCAGAACATAAATATGATTTTATAGAAGACTTCACTTGTGTTTAGACGCTTGGCTTCAGTATAATCATTAAAAGCAGTATAGGTTATTGTAATCCGCCTTCATGTCATAACACTAATTGGGCCCACTCAAGAATATATTTCGGGAACAAAAACAACTTTCATACCGAAGAAACATTAAAAATCAGAAGGGTGAAATGGATCAGATGCTGTGTCCAGGAGATAACCATGTTGACAGCAAATCGAGGCAAGGTGTTCTTCCCCTCTGCTCAGTGCTCGTGAGGTCTCATCTGGAGCCCTGGGTCCAGTTCTGGGCTTCTCAGAGCAGGAGAGACGTGGAGAGACTGGACAAAGTCCAACGAAGGGCCACCAAGATGAAGAAGGGACTGGAGCGTAACCGCTGTGAGGAAAGGGTGAGAGAGCTGGGACTGTTCAGCCTGGAGAAGAGAAGGTGCAGGGGATCTGTTTAATGTGTATAACCACCTGTACAGAGGGTGCAAAGAGGACAGAGCCAGGCTTTTTTCAGCAGTGCCCAGTGACAGGACCAGAGGCAAATGGGCGCAAACTGAAACACAGGAGACTCCGGTCTGAACATCAGGAAATGCTTTTTCACTGTGAGGGTGACCAAGCACTGGCACAGGTTGCTTCAGAGAGATCATGGAGTCTCTGTCCTCAGAGGTATTAAAAAAATCATCTAGGCACAGTCCTGGGCAACTAGCTCTATGTATCCATGCCTGAGCAGGGCGGTTGAACAACATGACTTCCAGTGGTCCCTTCCTACCTCAGCCATTCTGTGATTCTGTGAAATAAACACTTTTAATCGCAATAGAGAGTCTGCCTGCCCTGTTTCTTACTTACTTTCTCAGCTTGGTGTCTGACTGAGCCTGTACCTTGTGAAGGGAGTTGCAGAAGGTATCTAGATTCTGCTGGAGATGATTTTGAGATTCACTGAGCTCTGGAAGAACTGACGTAGAATGCAGTCTTGACCCTCTGGGCAGACTACATATGTCCACCTAAGCAGTCCTAGAAGGTCTACCAGGTATATCAGTGAAACCTGCACCCAGGCTCTTCTCAGATGTACGTTGTACCAGCATTGACTCTAAGCTTATTTAGCAGAGCTGACCTGACAAGAAGGGCTGGGTAAGTTACACCCTCTTATTAGGGATAGCAGTGACCACATATTCTCTAGACAAACTGACTCTTGAGCTGTCCCTTGGGCTGCTCCGTTGTGCGTCATCTCTAGAGTAGGTCAGTGGCAGTAAAGCACGTATGGACCTCTGGGGAGCTCACACAAAACCCGAGCTCTCATGCTGTCCAGAACTCCTGTTAGTGATCATCCCCATATCCTTCAAGTCGTCATCTTATATGTGTAATTTCACTCTTTTTCAGCAATAACTCATGTTCCTGTCACGTCTCTATAAATAATTGTAACTTTAATAAATGGAAAGGGTAAGGAGAGACAGGACAATTTAAAAAAATATGGGAGGGAGCATTTGGCTTCAGTGTGCAAATGACATATAGTTTCCAACAACTCGAGGAGGAATAGTTCTCTTGCCTTCAAGATTTGTTCATTTATTTTAAAAATATATTTCTCAAAATTAAATTTGTGGTTTCAGGAGCTAAGTATAGAAAATTGCATAATGCCCTTTTAGACATTGGTGACTAAGAGTGATCACAGTAAATGAATATAGCATGCATGGAGTTTGTTAAAATGTAATTTGTTCCACTGCAACGGTTTAAGTCTTTCCAACATTGGTTAGGCTAAAATGTCACGTGCATACTTTTAAAGTGCAAATATTGTGTTCCTTAAGATAATGATGAGGGGATGATAACAAACAGAACCCAATGCATGCTATCAACATTACTCTGGGTAAAGAGTGAAAGAATTTGTGGCTTGCAAAGCACATCCTTCTTCAAAAAAGTTTGGTTTTGGAAATTCACTCATGACTGTTCGAGGTGTCTCTGAAGTTTACAAAGAGCATTTTTTCCCATTTTTTCCATCAGGTGCTTCATTCCAAATGCCTATGCTGCTCTCTTCACTGCTGCTCTGGTGCCATTAATGTGCTTGGTAGTGGTTTTTGTGGTGTTCATCCACGCCTACCAGGTGACCCCGCAATGGAAAGCGTACGACGATATTTTCAGAGGAAGAACAAATGCTGCAGGTATGATTCGTTGGCTACCCCTATGCAAAAAAGTTGGACTTCCAGAACGGTTACTGACTGTTCTTGCCCGTTCAGAAAACCCCACTAGAAACCACAGTTCAGTAGATACCTACGCACTACTTTAAGGATGCTAGTGGTCCCTTTGAAGTCTGTGAAAGCACTGTAACGATGAAAGTTATGCAGATGCTGAACTGTCTTAGGGGGATAAAAATGTGTTAATCCTAAAACAAGCAGTTGCTATCAGTGGTTGTGTCTAGTCTACTAAAGAGAATAGCGGTGAGACACAGGATGGCCCTGCTTGGAGCACGGTGTCCCCAAGGTTTTGGCTGTGGGTAACAAGCAGCCCTCCCCGGGAGGGCTGGGGCTGCTCAGGAGCAGCGATTGCCCGCGTGCGGGGCAGGGGTAGCGTGGAACCCACACCGTGCTCCTCTGCTCGGCCCCAGGCGCGGGGCACGGCGCGGGCCCGTGGGACTTGTGGCGTATTCAGTGGCTTCACATCCGTGCGCAGGCTGCGTGCTGGAGCGTTTGGAGTTAACGCCGCTGTTGTGAAATTTCCCAGTGCTACTCGCAGCTGAAATGTGCTTGAAAGGAAAGATCTCTCTCGTGCAAAACAGGAAGTATTGGTCGGTCTCCTCTGTCAGAACAATTTTAAACACAATAAATTCCCAAAATAAAATTGCAGCAGTTTAGACCAATATCGTAATAGCAGGACACTCTGTGAGAAGCTTAGAATATTTCTTTTGTTTTCATGATGTTTTTGGAAAAAAAATCTGAGTTTTATAAACAAATACAAATATACAGATTTTAATAAAAGTGTATCTATTTTCTCCCTGACTACATGAAGCCAGTTATATTTTATGAAAGCATGAAAGGTTCTTGAATCATTTTTCTAAATTCATTAAACAAATATCTTCTGAACTTAAAAGAGACAGTGGATTATTAAAAAATTGCATAGTCCAGTGCTTGTAACTGTTCAGATTTATAAAGAGTAGCTGTCTTGTTCAAATACTCAAATTTGCAATGATAATTGTATTATGAAATGAGGGGTTGTGGTGTTTTTTAACATTCGGATTACAGAAATACATTCCTTTTATAAGAAAATTTAAATAAATATTAATTATTTATTATTTCTTCAAATATTAATTTCTTAGTGACAAAATGTCAGCTTGACTAAAAGCTATATGAATTTGGATAAGGTCTGTTAAACATAGCTTGTAAGTATGATTCTCAAGACCTTAGCTGCACTTTAGCTTTTCATTTCTTTCTGATATAAAAGAGACTGCCTGGAGCAATCACAGAGGTGGCTCCCTATTCAGTCTTGAGTGATACAGGTTATTTATTCATAAATAACTTTTTTTTACTATCTCTAAGGATAGAGATTCCATATTCATATGTTGAAGGTTAAGGCTCGTCTCAGAGCAATTAAACCAAAGAAAAAAAGTGCTGAATATTGGAACAATACCATAAGTAAAGTCGGCATGCAAAATGACAGAAAGTACTAATAGAAGCTATAACGACATGACACAAAGACATGAAATAATAGGTTGAAACAAAACTTTGTTTGATTTAATACAGGGTTCAGGGTGTTTTCTTTCTCCAGTAAAGTCCTGAAAGTAGTATAGAGAATGCTGATGTCTCAGAAGAAAAGAAAAAACAATATCAGGAGGAGAAATATTCAGTGAAATGTCAGTAATAGCCTTGTTTTTAAAAAAAAAGAGCAGTTTGTAACTTTTACTACTTGTGCACCTGCATGGCAAACTGGCGTTTTGCTACCAAACGGCTTTTGCAAGCACAAATGAAAGTACCTCGTGCAGCGTAGGCAAGAGCAAGTTGGAGAGAGACAGTTTTAGAGAAGGGAAATAGCTGCCTGCTGAGGTTTACGGTGCCTGGGGTTGTAGCTCTCTGCGTAGCTGTGTTTATAGTACAAGCTTCCAGAAAGAAAGGCCAGTGATTTATGTAGTTTGTAATGTTGCCTATAACTACATAACGTGGTGCTGTTAACTAAAGGCCACAGACTATCTGACTGAATATTTCTCTCCTGAAATTTGAGGTGGTGGTAGTATATTTTCATTATTTTTAATGTTTTATGGCTATATTGTGCTTTTAAAGACATATTCAAAGGCAGTTTGCAGTGGTAAGACCTACTACCACTTTGAATCTTCCCGTATGACTCACTCTTTGGAGAAGTTCACTCCACTGGCTCCATGTTCTTACAGACTCGATAGGACCTTATCCTGCTTCCATGCTGTTATTGAAGGGGGCCTACAAGAGAGCTGCAGAGGGACTTTCGACAAGGGCATGGAGTGACAGGACCAGGGGTAATGGCTTTAAATTGAAAGAGGGGTGATTTAGATGAGATATTAGGAAGAAATTCTTCTCCGTGAGGATGGTGAGGCCCTGGGCCAGGTTTCCCAGAGAAGCTGTGCCTGCCCCCTCCCTGACAGTGTTCAAGGCCAGGACGGGGCTGGGGGCACCCTGAGCTGGTGGAAGGGGTCCCTGCCCGTGGCAGCGTGGTTGGAACGAGATGGTCTACAAGGTCCCTTCCAACCCAAATCATTCTGTGATTCTGTGATATCTTGCTTCTGCAATGGAGAGGGGGTCCTGGATCACACCAGCACCACATTCTGGCTTCAGTGCAGCTTTAAAGAGCCTATAGGGTAGGGAAGTCTCGGCAACATTGCCTCCTTAAGTTGCATAGGCACCCATTATTTTGCTGGTTTATTGTGGCAACGAATATGCCAGACTTTCTCTCTGTTTCATCCAAGACTAGAGGAAAGGTGGAGCTACAGTTGTCTTAGAATAGTGTCTTATTCTAACTTGTCTCTGGCCTGTCATCCCCATACTGATTTACTCCCTGTTCATTCACCCACAACAATGAATTCTTACAGCACAAACACCTTTCCCAGATTCCATCCTGGGGTTTGGTACCCAAATTTTACAACTTTGAATAATGCAGTAAGTAATAGGAAAAAAAAAATTACAAAAAAAATCACTGCGTTGGAAAACTGTCTGCTCTCCATTACTATACCCTTTCTAGAAAGACAATAAAATTCCAGGTGAATGATGCTGTAAACAATTCTGACATATCAACTGTAGAGAGCCGTAAACATAGACAAAAATATATTTTAAATACACTTTTACAAGTAATTGTGGACACCTGTTCACTTAAATTCCAGAGAGCTAAGAGTATTGCAGAAAGGAAAATGTGGCATATATAGGCATGTAATTATAATTTATACACAGAGATTCATACAAACACCTATCTGCATGTGAATTTTTGATCTACTCTTGTTTATTCCCTTTCTGGGAGTCATTCAGTTAGAAGATAGTTAAAATCGCAGTGTGATACAGATGACCCCAAGCGGGTTCTGCCATAATTCATGCAAAACATTATGGAATGTTGTCAGTAATAATAAAATAGCAAGGTCACTGTCTTGCCTGTTACCATAAAATAGAAAAAAGTGTTGGATATGCAGATTTGAAAGAAAAAAAGTTGTTATCTGCCTTATAAGTGTACATTCTTTAGGTCATTTCATACATTGTAGGAAAAGCCTCTTGAACTGCAGCTGGTAGTTCTGAAGTTCCATATTTGTGATCTCTACTTGAGGAGGGCTATGATTAACTTTACTAGAAATTTAATAGGAGTAGAAACAGTAAATTATATCCTCATTTGTAGTGTAGTGTTTTTTTTCTCAAATAAATTGAATATGCAAGTGGCTAAGCTATAAACCGGGTCAAAATTTTTTCCTAGTCTTTTCTCCTATTGTTGGAATACCCGGAAGCTTACCTTGCAACGAAGGTTCATAGAATCATAGAATGGACCTTAACAGACCTTAAAGATCATCTAGTTCCAACAACCCTGCTAGAGGCAGGAACATCTTCCGCTAGGTCATGTTGCTTAAAGCCCCATCCAACCTGACCTTGAACACTTCCAAAGATGAGACATCCACAGCCTCTCTAGACAACCTGTTCCCATGTCTTACCATGCTCATTGTAAAAAATTTCTTCCCTGTACACATTGTAAGTCTGTTCTCTTTCAGTTTAAAACTATTGCCCCTTTTCCTGCCAAAACAT